CAGGGGGAAGTATCACCTCTTTGGTTCTACTGGTCATGCATCAGCTGATGCATGATAAAGTACGGTTAGCTTTGCTGATTATTTTGTCACACTGACAACTGAACAAAGACATGCAAATAGAGTCAGATACCCTTTTTTTCCCCCAGAAGCCCACAACATTTACAGAGTGAGAGAGACAGAAATTAACACTAACAGTATAAACATAATGGGCTAAGTCAGTGATTCTCAACCAAGGTGCTGGGGCACCTTGGGATGCCCTCAGGTCCTTTGAAGGGTGCCCTGAGGTGTGAAGAAATAAGTAGATCAGCTAAACATGTATGTGCAGGCTCAGGCTTGTCCCTGCCTGGATGATCCCAGACCTCCAGTGCCCAGCCCCTCTGCAAGAAGGTTAGTACTGTAATATATAAACTAATTTTTGAAACTGGTGCCACTCAATTCACAAACTTTATGGAGGGGTGCCTTGAGCCTAGTGAGGGTTGCCTCAAGTCCAAAAAAGTTGAGAACCACTGGGCTAAGTCCTCCCACAAATTAGAGCAGATTTCCATGCTGGGGTTTAGACAGGGGCCAACCTGGTTAATGTGGCAAGTTGAATAACCTAATTGTAATAATCCCCTAAGAATCTTTACATCAGAAAGGATTATTATAGTCTGCTGTACCCCAGGGCTTGAAAATACCCCAGTTCTTCCACCACAACCCTGAAGCCAGGCTCAGAGAGAGACGCAAGAGAGACTGGACCACACTGGCTGCGTACCAGCAGAGGATTTCCTATACCATTTGGGGGCTGCTTTAAGTGGCAGGGTAAAGTGAACATTAAGATTGGCCTAAATTTGGTTCAATATTTCTTAAAATATTTTGCATCACAAAATTGGCCTAAAACAATTAAGAATTAGATGACAGTTCTATTGTTATTAGGAAGTGGTTTCAAATCAGTCAGGCCTACTAACCAAGGAATCGGAGGTCTTTCATCAGTTCCCATTTAGGTTAATTGCTATGTTCACTAACTAGTTAATCAAAAAAGGAGAACTATCAATCTTCATAAGAACAGGCATGAAATTCTAACACAGCAGTAATTTACCACCTCATGCTTTCATGATCAGATAAAGGATGCCCTTTCATTTTAAATGTTTTATTCTAAGGGCCTCTTCTTTAAATTAACTACTTCAGAAACTGGAACCTTTACCTCTCAAAATTATGAGTCTAATTCCTATAATTTATTTTTCATATATATTAATAATAAAATGATAACCTACCCAGTCATGATAGACAATTAATCCAAGGTCAAGTCACTAGATCTTTAGTGTTTATTCAGGCTCTGGACTATGGGTGGTATCTAGCAGGGGCCTTAAATTAAAAGGTGACATCTGCATCAAACTCATTACATATGCACCTAAATGATTATCATTGTGTTCCTGCAACTGTAGCACACATACTTCTGGTTAAATGTTTTTCTTCTGGGAAGTTAATGCATCTCCTTTTACTGCCTGAACAGATTGCAGGAAGTCTAATGCATTCCTCCTGGAAACCTTAGGTTAAAACTCATCTATGCCAGTCCTTGGTTTGAAAATGGAAGCCACTTCCTGAGCTTAGATCATATAAAATATGAAATACCCCAGTTCCTTTGTTTATTTGCAGCTATCAAGTCTTGTTTAACTTCTCAAATTTATTTTAGACGAGGGCTGTCCAACTTCAGTGGGGCTGGGGGTCACAGTGCGCAGGCCATACGTTGTGGGGACAGACCCCCGGAATCCCTCTTGTATTCAATACTGAGCAGGCCACCACCAGCAGTGGCACAACTTCCTCCTGGACCTTCTCATGCCATGCAAGCCCCTTAGCCCACAGGCTGCCAGTTGAACAACCCTGTTTTAGACAAGTAAGCCTCAGTGGAAATAAACATAAGTACTTTAAGAGTGAGTTGTTGCAGTATAGTCATACTTTGGCTCCCATTTCCAAGTGCAGTATACCATGGGTATAGCCATCAGAGCCTGAATCTTCCTCTGTTGCCCAAACTACTAACCTCTCCATCCTGAAAGTGTTTCTTGAGCTGCTTCAGCATATGAATAAGCTTCTTGGACTGCACTCCACTGTAAGCCAGCAGCATGCTACCAAACTGACGCTCAGTGATCCTCCCATTTGCGGGGTCATGCCGTTCAAACTAGAAGAGAAAATCAAAACCAACAACACAATATTAAAGCAGAATTCCATTTCAGCAGGAAATGGTTGTTTTATTCAGGATGGACATAAACATCTACAATAAAACAGAGGTAAATGCTGTTAGCAGGGCTTTCTAGAAGCAACTCTAACTACGTTGAACGTTCCCATCTCCATCAATAAGTCAGTATTTTTTCTACAAGTGAATGCCTTTTGGAAATGCCTTTATCTTGATCTACTTGTTCCACTACACAGACGAAAAGCAGGTTGGCTGGGAACAAACGATTACAATTCAGGATGGATAAACCTAATAAAAGCCAAACCAGATTTACTACTTAAGAAAAAAGTTCATGCTTGGGGTAAAATTTGGCATCACAGGTTTCTAAGGCTACAAGGTAGAAGTTGAGCAATGCTATAAGCTTCATGCCACATGCACCAAGTCTTAGAAGTGTCATGGAGAAACCAAACTGTTGCTAGTAATGCTTTCTCACATTACACTCCTGCACAGATACATGAATAAAAGCACATGTATGCAATGAAAAAAAATCTTTGTGTTCTGAAGGGCTGGGGGAAAGAGGGAAGAAAAGGGAAGGGGGACATAGTTTGGTGGTCAATAAGCCAGGAAGAAAAAAATCTTTCTTACAAGAAAAAGTCTTTCATCACTCCACCCCCCATCCCTTTCTATTCCAATTTCCTTCCTCACTCTCTTGATCTTACCACAAAAGCCTTAAAGCAACACGAACCAACAAACAAACCAACTCTCCAAACAAATGAGACCCACCCATGAGGCTACAAACCATCACTCTGCTCATTCTGA